CTACGACCAACTTGAAGTTTGAAAAATTGCCAACTTTGAAGCTGATTTTAACTATGAAGACGATGATAAATTTGTACTTTTTTGGTTTGGTATAAAGATTGTACTTTTGTCTACACAATGCATTTATTAAAATTATTAATTTCATTCATTAAGGGCCTTAAAATTGCATTTGGAAGTCACGATTTTGGCAGCTTCTGATAAATCGGAAATATATGGAAAAAATAGTAAAATTTGCAAAATTTTCAAATTACACCAAAGTATGTTTGATTTACGCTAACCAGGCGTAAATACGACTTTATTAAAAATTCTTTCTACTACCTACTATTTCTTATATGTTTATATATATATATATATATATATATATATATATATAAATGCCATGTATATATATATATATATATATATATACATACCATAACAACGGTTACCATAGCAACGCTTATAGTCTTATTTAAAAATAAGAATTTATATTTTTACAAATAGAAGATTTTGTGTATAATCAGTTGGCCGAGATCGTTAAGTTACCACTACGGTTGCTCATTGTACCTTGGTTCAAATCTCGAAGAGGTCTGAAAAATTATCAGTTTTTCATAATTATCAAATATTAGTTCAAAATATTAAATTCAGGTGGCGCATTTCGACCTTGACACTTAGAATATTTCTGAAAAACAAAAAACTCAAGTTTCGCACTTGACTGTAAAAGAGATACATAAATGAGATGACGAAGGTAGAGGAAGAACTGGGGAAAGAGAAGGGTAGAGGCAGATGATGAATAAGAGAGATGGGTATGATACATATTCTTTATTCAAATTCAATATTAATACAATATGAGAATAAAAATAACTATTATCATCAATAACTGAAATAGCCGAGTGGTTTAAGTGACCGCATACTCGGTGAAATCACTCTGGAAGCACAAGGAGAGACGGATCGAGTCCAGCTGAAGGCGACGACGAGCAACTCTGGAGCAGAAAAAATGGAGCAGTGCTGGTGGCTGGCTGTTGGCAGGCGCGGTGGGTCCTGAAACGAACACACAGAGTGATGGTCAACCTGAGGTCCGTGATGCGAGAGGTTACACGCAGAGAGACGCATTGCGGAAGATGCATGCCGAACCCAAAAATCTACCCAAAAACCACAACATGCGAAAAAAACACCAAAAAAGGAAAAAAATGTAAAAAAAAGCGGAGAAAGGGGAAAAAAAGGAAAAAATGAGGAGGAGGAGGAGGAAGGAGAGGGTGGAGAGCCTAAAAAAAACCCCCTTAAGTCCCAGATCAATTTTTCTCTTTTCTGTTCAGCGTTGAAACTTTTTTATGTTTTTTAGTGTTCCCTCACACCAATTCCCAAAACCAACACTCGAATGAAATGAAGTCCACTTGAAATTTTCACGACGAGAAAAAATTACTGGGACTTAGTTAAAATTTTTAACTTTGCCCCAATAAAATTTTCTCGTTATGAAATTTTCAATATGGGTCTCATTCATTCGAATGTTGGCTTTGGGATAATATAGCATGCATAAATAACTTGTCTGTATTAATCGAAAAGGTTTCAGAAAATTTGGACTTAGAAAAAAATATATCTGAAAGGACTTAGAAAAAAAAAAAAAAAATCCGAAAGAATTATAATCAGAAAATTTGGACTCAGAAAAAAAAAATATTCGAAAGAATTATTTAACTAATCTATGATATGAAATGAAATTAATTAAAGACTTTTAAAAGCTGCATTTAATTAACAATTTGGCTAGTCGTATTAAATATTTGAAATAATTTGATCAAAACCAACAATCGTGTTATCCATAAATAAGAATGTACATGCAGTCAATATTGCTACACCATAAATAACTCGTCTGTCTTAATCGAAAAGGTTTCAGAAAATTTGGACTTAGAAAAAAAAAATTATTTGAAAGAATTATTTAATTAATTGATGAGATGAAATAATGTTAATCGAATCAAAATTGTCTATATGAGTTAATGAAACATGTGAAACCTTTACAATTAGTCGAGACAAAAACAAATGTAGTTGGACTTGAACAATATACAAATAATTGGGGAAAGCCATAAAAGTAATTCAATAAAACTTGTAAAATGAAATATTAAAAAATGTTTAGAAACTTGAAAATTAAAAAAATGAAAACTGTTAAAAAGCTCATTGTTATCCTTTAGAAATTGAGTTAAATATGAATCAAATAATAAATTTGTATACAAAATTATGTTTTGTCTAATCATTCAAGTCAACTTTTTGAAACCTTAATCAAGCTACATCAACTCGAATAGTATAATAAATTAATTCATTCATTAGCGAGAAAATATCTTTTAAAAATGTAGCCTTTTAAAAATAATATTGGTATAATTAATTCAGTCATTTTTAAAACAAAGTTATTTGATCATTGCATTTATATAAAAATCATTGCATTTATATAAAAATCTATCGAGTTAATGTAGTATTAAGTGAAATCTAATTATGTACATATGATGAGACATGATTAAACAACATGTTGAGCAATATTTAAAAAATTGTACTAAGAACAGATGTCAAAAATATTAAAAAAAGATCTTTAAGAAATAACAAACAATATTTTATTTCATTAAACATCTATTAATTTGTGAATTCATTGAAAAATTCAAAATTAATTACTCAACATATGAATTAATCAAATCATCGATTACAAGTCTTGATCAAAATTGTATTCAGCAATATAGGAATAAAAATCTATATATAGCAATGCAGCAATATCATTACATGAATTGAGAATAAAATTACAACGAAAACCTTATTTTAAAAAAAAGTAGTTTGATCAAAACCTGTTTAACAAAACATTTTGGCAATAATAAGAAAAAAGTGCCTGAATTAAAAACAGCTACAGGGAAAACACATGATTCTTGATAATAGAAAAGTAATTAATTATTGACGTGGAATAGCAACCAACATCCACTAGTCATTGTAAAATAGAAAGAATTTTATTTAGCCATATTTAATATTTTAAATTTATAATAAAATTTAGTATCTAGTTAGAATTATAGAAAGAAATCTTAGTATGTTAGATATTAAAATGCTATTTGACAGATTCTTCAAAACTTTCAATCTGAAATATCTACAATTCTACAAAGTCTACAATTCCACAGACTCAATATTCTGATGGAACATTTACGGAAGATACAGATCATATTCTTGTTTATAGAAAAATAAAATGTTCTTAATGGCCATACATGTCATTACAATAAAAATTGAAACAAACAAAAAATAAAAAACATTGTACTATATTAATTGAAACAATTTATAAATTGCATTTGCTTAATTGAATTTAAAAAAATGAATCAAGATGTTTTCCCCATAAGGAATTGAATAAAAGCAACACACTTATCGAGTACCACTTGACAATTTATTAATTAAACAAAGTGCATGTAATATTTGTTGAATCATTTACAACATTATCAAATGTTTTTTTGCAGATTGATTAATAAAATTGCCAGTGATATTCGACATTTTTACACATACATCTGCTAAAGTAGTTGTTTTAAATTTTTTATTTATGTAACAGTTGTGGTAAATGTTCCCGAAAGGTAAGTTATAGTAATTGAAAATAATATGCTTCTTATTTGTTACTAGAATTGTAAAACCAATGATTAATAGTTAAGATTAATATCAAATTAATATGTCATAAAGTCTTTATTAACTAAATCAACGAAAATATATACCAGAACATTGAATAAGAAATGAAGCTTGAAGTCTCTGATGCATTGACATTATTATGTACTTAAATAAATTAATAAATAAACCTTTTTATTAGCAGATGCATGTGCATAAAATACTAATCAGTAAATATTTCACTGAAATACATGCAGGTAAACAAGTCAGTAAATATTTCACTGAAATACATGCAGGCTGATTTCAACAAATTTCGGTATATTATTTGTTATACGATGAATGTGCCTGTACATGATTCCAACAAAGCATTTATTGACATGTTATGTATAAAAATTGGTTGGACTCACATTGAAGAGAAACCTCTAAAGCAGGTACTAGAAGCCCCACACGAATCTAAACATTTAATTGAATCACTACACCACACCACTTCTTACATTTTATACACTTAATTTATAATTTGCAAATGTTCGAGTGCAGTCTTTTCTCAACACAGAACGCGATGCACATATTAGAGACTGTTGTGAATGAATTGGCGACTTTAAAAAAGAAAAAGGACTTATCGGCTTCAGAAGCATACATACATAAATTACATATTTGGCAATCGACAAATGTATATATAAATAAGCAAAGGATACAGTGAAAGCTGTAAAAGTGGTTTTTGATTATGAGATATATGAAAATTGAAGGCCCTGTAAATGAAATGTATTAATTATAAGCCATGATGCCGATAAGCAACCTCAACAACCATTTGTTGTTCTTATAGTACATCCGAATTACTTTTTCTCAATCAGTTTGATCTAATGAACTGATTAAACCAGATAATGCATACATTAATTAATTACAATTATGCAATAATAAAAAGTTCATAAATTATTACTTATGTCACAAAATCCATTCACAAAAACTATCAAGAAATATGGCCGCCGCCCTAAGGCTTTTGTAGCCAACTTCATGCTTATTTATACTTGTAGCCACCGCTAAAAAATTGCAATGATGGACAGCGCGAATTTCAAATTGAAAATCATATATTATTGAAACATAATTTGTTTGAAGTAAATGGATTTTATTGATATATGCAATAAGATGTTGCTATATTTAATAATTTCTAAATGAAAAAAACTTGTCATCGTTTGTATTGAAAAGAGTAGAATCAATAATAAAATTTTCTTAGAAATATCTTACCGTTATAATTTAATATAAATAACTTAATTATCTCCCCTTAATTATTAATTGTTTATTAGTTTGAAAAATATAAAAGTCATGAATTTATAAAATATATACAAGGGAGTGTTTATTTATATATTAGAGCACATGCTAATCTGACAGTTCTCTGAATTGTTTGGATTTTCATACTTTATAACCTAGACAATATGAGAATATAATAAATTCATATTCCCTATATAACTTATTCTAGTATATACTAAATTCTCAAATAATAATTAATATTTATTTAAAATGCATTATACTTAAAATTAGCTTAAGCATACTATTATAAAATCAGTGTAAAAATTAATAAACATGGATGAGGTATTACTATAATAATATATAATAACTGAAAACATTTGTTGATTTGATTTTCTATATTTTAGCTGGTTGCAGAAGTTTTAAAATCAAACGTGGCTTATGTGTTTGCAAACGGAGCATTGAATAAACATTTTGCTAATAAACATCCTCATGAGTTATCTTTAGGCCACAATCTACACAAAATTCCATCCATAAATTCTTACAATCCAAATGCTGTTTCTTCACTTTTTGCCGACTATCCATACAAAGCAAATTTGCCTATTCCTCTAATTGTGTCAGAGAATTTCGATACTGCTCATGCAAATTACATTGAAGATCCTGCCTTAAAAATTGTTAAAGAAAAAAGCCTGTGGTGCAAAAATAAACAAAAATTTCTTAATGTTTGGAAAAGAGATAAAGGTATTTTTTTTTCATTAAATAGTATTGTATAATTATGAAATATTTCTTAACATGTATGTTTTCAGAACTAGCTAAAAAGTGTTCGATCAAAGATAAAGATCCAAAGTGTGCAAAATTTCTAGTTGATTATGCTGAATTTAATTTATCAGACCCAGATGTTAATTTTAATTCAACTTATAATTGGTATTATACTGATGGAACTTTAAATATAATAGAAGACAATGGTATAAATATACTATTGCATAATTCATCTATTTTTGATAACCAAATAAGTAAGTATTATATATCAGAAAAGTTTGTATAAAATACCTTTATCTGTTAGCTTCTTTGGTATAATACTTCTAATCAAAATATTCATTATAAGAATTGTCTTATATAAATTATTCAATACCAAATATATTTTCATAAAGTTTAAAACAGTCTCAAAAAACTGTTAAAATTGGTTGTAGATTAAAAAATTAATTTATTCAAAAGCATTATTTTCTTTACTTGCAACTCAATATAGTTAATTTACATAAATTACTTGATGAGACTTATCTATTTCAATTATGTATGCAAAAAATTTAAATATTTTAATGCACGTTTAAATTATAACTAAATTTATTTTATCTAGGTGTAACTCCTATTCAACGATGTCCCACGGGGTATGAATATCACAGTACGTTCAGGCCAAGCACAAAAAAATTAAAACATGCTGAACCAATCTTTCAAATTAATTCTTGCAGAACTAAAGAAAACATAATACTTGGCGTTAGACAAAAAAAAACTTATTCATTATTTAATGTGATAGCAGATGATATATATTATCAAATCAAACGAATGAATGATATTACACAAACAGAATCTCTTACAAGTTCATGTATTGATAGTTTTAGTCAACAAAGTTTTGCATTAGCTGATGTTGACAGTGCTATCACTGTGTATGATCTGAATATAATGAAAGAACTTAATGTTCTGAGTTTGGAGAGAGAGCAAGATTTGCAAGATAAATGGTTATCAGTAAAGTATTTTGAAAGTAATATAGTATTTGCAGTAAACAGAAATAATATTTATTCTGTAGATTTGAGGGCAGATGAAAATCAAATATGTATTTACAAACCAGAAAAAGACAAATGTGAAGAGATGTCTGTTTTCAAATTTAGCGCATTTCACAAAAATCTCCTTTATGTAGCAGGAAATCATAATTTATTTTCTTATGATGTGAGAATGTTCAATCAGATTCAACCTCTGCAAAGGTGGACCCATGGTATGAAATCAACACCGCATTTGATGGATGTTGGAATTCATGATAATAAGGAAATAATCATTTTGGCTAGTCCTCTACATGATGAATTAAGATTGATAGTCAATACTCATAATGAAAATGATGACAAAAAATGTTTAAATGACATATTAGCTCAATCTTTTCACTTACCTTGGAAGCCACCAACAGTTGCTGATTCTTTAATATCAAGCCAGCTACAGGGTAAAATGTTAAAACCTGACAAATATTTATCAAAACGAATCAAATCTTGCAATGCAGGTTTAGCTTTGATACCAAATAATACATCTCTTCATATAATATGGCAAAATTCCTTCACAGATATATTTCAACAACAAATTCGACCAAACTTTGAGGCATTTTGCAATGAATATGCACATAGTTCACTTTCTAATTGGTCTCTTTTAAAATCCAAAACTGCACCACCATTGTTTGCCACAAACATAATAAACATGAAACCAGTATTTAATCTTTTGAAAGCTGATATACAGGAGATGCCAAAAACTAAAAAAACCCAAAATGAAAAATGGAGAAGACCTCTTGATAAGCTCACTAAGTATAAAGATGTTCTTGCACAAGATATTTTAGCACCATGGAATTTAGTGTCAGGGCCAATTGATAATATTCCATCACAATTAGAAACAAGTGAAGCTTCAACAAAGGAGAAGGTTTCGGCTTGGCTGGAAAATTCCTCTGTAGCAGAAAGTAACTTGAGTGAACATGTATACGACAAAAATATTTCACAAATTACTTCATTTACTAATTTCATGTCTCAACCAATATTACCGAATCATAATGCACAACCATTAATTACTAGTTCTCAACCTGTTGCAAAAGCTAAGATGACTACATTAAGAAAAAGAAAATATGAAGGTTTTTAATATGAGTTGAGTGCATTTATATATTGTAAATAGTAATTTAATATATACTAGATAAAAGCTAATTCATTGAAAGGTATATGAAAAAATGTTTGTAGATAAACAATATGTAAAATGTTTTAGATAAACAATATCAACATAAAATTAAAAATAAGTAAATGAATTTAAAATAATCATGAGACTGCATATAATTTGACCAATTAAAATATAAACACGCATATGTACATTATAAATAATTAAAATAGTTAAACATTAAATTATTTCAGTTATATCATAAAAACATTAAATAAGAATTAGGTAAACTAATAATTAAAACGACAAACAAAACTATTTTAAACAGGAAATATCTGCAATTATAGATGCCATTAATTGCTTGTCATGGAAGATTGAACTAATTTCTTCCTCGTCCCATTGGAGAGTAACCTGTAACACACAACCTGGTTGTAACAAAAGAACCAACTTTTTATATTTCTGCAATTTTACCTTCTGTAATCTTGGTTCCTTTTTACCACTTATTCTGATAATGCCTCTAGAATCCACAAGAGAACACAGCCCCACAAATTCAGTCTGGTCTACAGCCATAATATTTTGTTTAGTACATACTCTTTTATAAATGTCATGTAATCTTCCAATAGTAACATCACGGTTTGAAGATTTTTTAAGTATTAATAATAAAGAGCAAATTAATATACATTGTTGAATTGGCAATTCAGTTTGTTCGTTTTCTTCTGTTTTGTCATTGAGACTCTGCGGGGTGGAATAGACATTCTTCAACACTGATACTACTTGACCTAATTCAACACCAACTAAAATGAATAAAATTTAAATTATGGAGAAAATTTGCATGAAGGTATAAATGTTGTATATAATAATATAATAGTAATATATGATTCATTTTGAATATGAAAATATAAAAATTAAGCAATCTGTTTGAATTTTATATTATAATCTATTACCTGCAGGTTGTTTATGTAAATTATTTTTTTCAACACATGTCTGTTGCTCTGTCAACTCAATTACACGTCTTCCAATATCTAATGCACGTCTTGCATCTCCTGACACAGCAGCTACTTTTCCTGCCAACAATTGCACAGCCATAGGACTGAATACATCAGTGACTCCACTTGATTCTAGTCTCTGTTTATATATTTCCATTATTTGATTTTTTGAATAAGGTGCAAAGTGCATAAGCTGAGGTTTTAATTCACATTTTGATTGCAGTCGTGGTAATATTCTATCAGTTAAATCTAGAGCATTAGCAATACCAATGAGTATTAGCTTTGATGCTGCATATGATGGCCATTCAAAAATGGTATATAAAATGCTTTGTTTACGGCTGTCCAATTGATCTATCTCATCCAAAATCAGAAGTCTAATAATAAACAAGAATATTTACATATATATTTACTTATTCAAAAAATATAAATTTATACCCTAAGTATCTTACATCATTTTATGTTTTGATTGAATGTAAGTCTCTATAGCGCACTTGTAGTCTTTTTCAGTAGATTTGCACTTGAGTTTTAATTCAGTGGCTATACGTTCAAAAATTGTTTTAGAATTTTTAATCCCAGTACAATTTGCATAAACTATACTCAATTTGTTTTTATACTAAAAGAAATTATTTGATATAAATGTATGAATATAAAACAATATGTAATTAATATAATATAGAAGAAGGATATATATCCTTCAAAATAGTTTATAAAATAAGCTTACTTTCTGTATAATATTTGTTAAACAAGCTGTTTTTCCTGTTCCTGGGGGGCCACTAACATACAAGGATGTTGAAGTCTCTTTTTTCAAACTTGTGTTTATTATATTCTCTAACTCCTGTAACTCCTTTTCACGGCCAGGTAGGTTAATAGGAGCTGTACTATGTAATGCTTGCCTAAATTGAATTTTATAATTAATATAAAAATAATCACCAGATTGCAATGATGAATATCATTAATGTATGCTCAACTAGCTACTAAAATACTTAAAATTTTACCTAGCTATTTGTAATCTTCCATCAAGTTCATTTTTCTCATTTCCATTCTGTATGTCTAAAGTTAAATTTTGAAGTAGCTTATTGGTGGGCGATAGGGATAAAGCACTATTAACACGTTGACCAGTTCGGCGTATTTTTGGTGGAGAACATGCTAAAATAAAATTTTGTTTTATTTATCTAAAAGGATCATAATATAGATGTGATACAAAATAGTTTTACTCATGTTCTGTAAGATTGTGCAGAATCTAATTGGTATTATAAATATAACAATATGAAAAAAAAATATATATATATATATATATATTCAAGAATTCTTAAGTAATGAATAATTTAGAAACTTGATATTATGTAGTAGTGATATTGAGTTTTATTTGAAAATATAGATAAAGATATGTTTCCAATTAAAAATAGCACATTTCATGCCCTGTAGTGTGAAATGACAATGGAAAAGCTCTTCCATTATTCTTTCCTGATTCGAATTGGAGTTGGATTATTGGAGTCAGCTCATGGACCTGCCCTGGGGCAGAGCACCCCATTGATAAATAAGCATATGCACCTATGGTTTATTATGCATCCTTTAGATAAATAAGCATGGAGCACCCATTGTTTTATGATATATAAATTTAGATTATTATTAAACAAAATATTTTAAAGACTAAAAAGAATATAATGATTGTATTCTTAATGCATGGCTCTGCTAAATTTAAGAAACGGCATCATAACTGCAAAGATTTTAAAAATTCTATCGGGTTCTTAAAATTCAATATTACCGACTGACATTTAAATCAAGTTGACAGATTTTTAACGATCAAATTAAAATAATTTTTCTATATTGGTATTTGCACTTAAATGCTCCAACTTCATAACATTTAGTGACGTCAATCAAACAAGTTAACCTATAATTATAGTAAAATTGCGGCATTCGTATTAAAATTGGCAAGTATATGATGATGAAAATCTTCAAGAAATTAAATCATAATGTTTGTAAACAAATATTTTACAAAGTTCAGTATCGTTCAAATTGAGTTTTAAGAAAAGACGTGTAACAGGTTCGTATACATAACACCCAAGGTCTCAAAAGCCGACAATTTGTAATAAATGTGCATTGACAAAAATGGGAACCAAATCGAATTTAGAATTGGAGGAACTAGCATTCGCAAGTACGCCGACACAACAAATGGCAGCATCATGTTGTGGAGCCCTTATAACTTCATTATTTATGACTCCTTTAGATGTCATCAAAATCAGAATGCAAGCACAACAGAAACCAATATCAAACAAATGTTTTCTATTCTGTAACGGCCTAATGGAACATCTATGTCCATGTAACCCACCATCTGGCCCCAGAATAAATCCAGGTAAAAGCTTTAACGGTACAGTAGATGCCTTTATAAAAATATCAAAAGCTGAAGGCTTAAGCACTTTATGGTCCGGCCTGGCTCCAACATTAGTATTAGCTGTGCCTGCAACTGTGGTATACTTTGTACTCTATGAACAACTAAAAGTCAAGTTGATGAGTACAGAGATAAAAACATATTTTTTATCTAAAGATGTAAATGAAACCCCTGGGTGGGTTCCACTATTGGCTGGATCATCAGCAAGAGTTATATCAGCTATGTGTGTTAGTCCACTAGAATTAGTAAGAACCAAAATGCAATCAAAAAAATTAAGTTATGATGAACTAAGAATGGCTCTTCAGCACCTCCTTCAAAATCAAGGCCCCAAAGGACTATGGAAAGGACTCGGAGCAACACTCCTGCGAGATGTACCATTTTCAGCAATCTATTGGACCACATATGAAAATTATAAAAGAATTTGGTGTTCTCCAGATTCTCCCCCATATTTTTATTTTGTTGGAGGCGCTATTGCTGGATGTTTATCAGCATTGTTTACTGTGCCTTTTGATGTTGTTAAGACCCACCAACAAATAGATATTGGAGAAAAAGAGATCTACTCTCAAAAACCTCAACCAAGCGCAAATACTTTCACCATAATAAGAAGTATATATGACCAGAAAGGAGTCAAGGGCATGTTTGCTGGACTAACACCAAGACTCGTAAAAGTTGTACCTGCATGTGCTATTATGATAGGCTCCTTTGAATATGGTAAATTGTTTTTTATGAATTACAATAGACGAAATACTTTACTTTTAAATAGTGATGATCAAGATGTAAATATTCCCCCCATAACGACTAATTAAATATAGTCTAGTTCAATTGTGTTGTTACTTGGTGATAGTTAGATGCATGTATAAATGACTTATGTATATAATATATTTTTATAAAAAGATGTAACATGTTATAATTACTAATGATAATTGTTCTAAAACGTAATACCTAATTTTATTAAGTTACCATGTTGATTAATTAAGTTAAATGAACATAGTACAAAAAAGTGATAATAGGCATAATTGTTAGTTAACAAGAATTTATATTTTACATTTCTATGTAACATAGAAATATTTAGAGTGCTGAATGTACAAAATTGTTGACACAGATAAATTGGCTTGTCTATGCATAATTAAATGATAATTTTGAAAATTGGTTTCTTTATAAAATATTTCTTTTGAATTTAGTATAGAAAGGTTTCAATCAAAATATTCTATTATTGCTGCATACAGAATGTTTTAAATGCATGAAATAAAGAATCAACAATAAATGGATTGTTGTTTTCATGGCACTCTCTTCGATCAAAAATACTACATAAAATATGTATACTGTTTAAAAGAAAACATCTCATCAATAACCAAATGCATAATAGAAATTATAACACCAGGTGTAAATAAGCTTGTAATCACGAGTGCAAAATACTGATCAGCTTAACTGGTCTGTATGTATGATAATATGTGACATTATTTACCTTCATCAAAACTTCTTGCATTATCATCATCTGATGTTCTTAAGTTATCTTGATTATTGCAAACTATATTTTCTTCATCGCTGTCCAAATAAGCAATTTTCCTAACTCTGGTAGACCTCCTAGAGGATTTTTTTATATTTGTTTTCGATGTAGATTTGTTATCTAAATCTTCATCAATTTTGTTTTGAGAATAAAACTTTAACGTAGAGGACTTCTTACGTTCGCTAAATGGTATTTTTGTTTGTACGGTATTCATTTTAATTATAACAATCACAACAATATATGTCACTTTTTAAAAGACACTTTATTAAAATAGTACAACTAAAACATGAAATATAGCACTAGTAATTTATTTAAAATATTTGGGGCACTATTTAAAATTAATAAACTAAAATAATGATTATTAAAATCACAGATAATTAAAGCCACAAACAAAACTAGTTGCTTCGTAAGAATCTAAAATGTTATACATCAGCTGAGATGCATTCGCGCCAAAACCGCTCGACACATAGTAATCGCAGTGCTGCCATCGTTCAAAATCATAATTAATCAAACACCTGTGTTGACAGTTATGAACATAGATAAAAAAAGTACGGTTATAAAGTTAACAAACATTAAATTTGAAACAGCCATAAAGAAATAATCATTTATTTAATATTAAAAGCACTAGTACATTTCATTTTAGAGTTATGTGTTCATATATATCATATTTGTAAAAAAATCACATAAATGCTTTCACATCAAAATATTACAACTTCACAGTCGTTGCAAATCTTATGGCTTCCGGCAACACTCTTAAGACAAAATCAACCTTTTCGTCTGTGGCGTTCGGCCCCATTAATCCTATTCGGAAAACTTTTCCTGCCGTAGGGCCCAAACCTCCGCTAATTTCTAGTGAGTGACTAAATTTAATGTCGTGGTGAGTTAATAATGCAATACAAGTGATTGTTTAACATATGTGACTTCTTATCAATGCGATATAAACTTTAACCTAGCTTTTTTCTACATGTGCTTTTTATTCGGATTAAATATATAAACAAAAATATTTATTTTAGGTAAGTGGTGCAACAATGCAGATTTTCGTCAAAACCCTCACGGGTAAAACCATAACCCTAGAGGTTGAAGCTTCTGATACCATCGAAAATGTTAAAGCTAAGATTCAAGATAAAGAAGGAATTCCTCCAGATCAGCAAAGGTTAATCTTTGCAGGTAAACAATTGGAGGATGGCAGAACATTGTCAGACTATAACATTCAAAAAGAATCCACCTTGCATTTGGTGCTCCGCCTTCGTGGTGGTGCCAAGAAACGCAAGAAGAAGAATTATTCAACACCAAAAAAAATCAAACATAAGAAGAAGAAGGTTAAACTAGCTATTTTAAAATGTTACAAGGTAAATTCATAGTTCTCGAGAAATTATTTAATACTTTATAATATTTATTACTTTGGTTTTGTTAGGAATCATAAAGTTTATGCTTCGTTATGAAAATTTTTCTTCATAAGTGCTTTTAATGTTTCATATCGTTCAATTCGATATCTGTAATGAGTTAACTATGAGTACATAATTAATAATTAAAATTTGTATTCCTTTGAGAATTTATCTTTTTAGTCATGAAATTACTTTTTAGTTTATTACATACACATATACCTGCAAACTCTATTGCAAGACCTTTCATTTGAATATGCGAACATTTAAGATTAAGTTCTAAATATTAAAATTTCAACAGGTTGATGAAAATGGTAAAATATTTCGCATGAGGCGTGAATGCCCCGGAGAGGCCTGTGGAGCAGGAGTATTTATGGCTGCTATGACAGATAGGCATTACTGTGGAAAGTGTGGATACACCTTAGTATTCAGCAAACCAGAAGAATAATCGTAATTATGAATGTTTTAAATTCACATTCAAAATTGACTTAATATCTTGTCAAATGTTATATGAATAAATATAATACAATATTAAAGAGACTATTGATCTAAGTATTCAGTTTTTTTTTTGTGAAGATGCTAGTGATAATTTAATAAATTAGCGGTTAAGTTACGTTTCAATAAACGAACAAGGACTATGTTTCTATCTGAATAAAAACCAAAGATTTCAAAAGTACTTACTTTGTCATCATATAACTGCATACTTTTGTCCAATCAACACCTGCTGGAACTTTGATGGTAGTGACGTTTGGTAATCTTGAAGATTCATCTTTTACTAATAATTCCATACCCAACTCTTCTATTCCTTTGTGCAATCTTTTTGCAGCTTCTTCATGTCGAGACCACATTGATTCTAAACCTTCTTCACAAGCAATTTTGAGAGCTTCCCGAAGGGCATATAGCAAATTTGAAGATATTGTATGATGATATCTTAAATTAAAAATAACAAATATTAAACATAACCAAAATATCAATAATATTGGTTTGGTATTTTATGTAAAGAGTTTATTTTATATTTTAAAGTGGGACCTGTTTAAAACAATTCAATCCATAATAATCATTTTAATTTAATGAATAAAATACTGAAGATGGCTTACCATGTTGATTCAAAATTAGCCTAATTTTCATTTACATTTTAGTCGTATTAAAATTTTACTTTGATAACAATCCAATGAAAGTCAAAGGCCATTAGAGAAAAAGATATAAAGCATGTTATAACAAAGAAGGCAAGTCACATAATGATATCGCGTACTTATACGGCGAATGTGTTAGATGTAAATAAAGCCAGTATTTATAATTATAATATATTAACTCTTTCCACTCGCGAATTGCGAGATTTATATGAATTTTGCCGCCAGAGCGGCGGCATCCGAGCCTGAAGGGTTTATATTATGATAACTGAAATGAATTTAGGATAATATTTTATATTGAAGAAATAGGAAAAATCATAGATTCATATCTACATTTATAAATTCACGGTATTACTTACATCCGAGGTCGTCCAAAACAACTCCAATAATCACCCAATAAAGTCATATCCCAATAGTACACCGTTACTGGCGTTTTGCGTGCGAATATTTTCTCTCTGAAATATTAAAAATATGTATAAAATTTACGTAAATCATTCAATGTTTTTTAGTCCAATGCAAACTTACTTTGCTCTTTCACTAAAAGATATCGGAGTTATTCCAGGAGGGGCTGCTAAAGCCTTTTGCGAACCAGTGTAAACTGCATCAACGCCCCATCGGTCTGCATGAAAAGGCGTTCCTCCCAATGCTGCAACTGTATCCACGGCAAATAAGCAATTATACCTGTAATAAATCATCGATTATTGGAAAAACATCATTTTTACCAGCGTTGTAACCACAATTCACGAATAAATAAATTCTAAAACAAATATTCCAAATATTAATGAAACGACTTTCCGCACGCGTATAAGATGCTCGTTTAGACCATGAACTCCAACATTATGAAAAGTTGCATTTATTGCCAAATTTTATTCAACAACTCCTCCGATTTTTATCAAAATCTATTCAGCACGAATTCCAACTGATATCTTTTGAACGGTTTTTAAATTTCAAAATCTGTTCAAGATTTTTGACGAAAATGTCGACCAAAAATTGTGTACGTGTATCTGCTAATTATGAGGTAAATCCTCAATGATTTTAAATTTTTAAAATTGGAGTAGCAGTTTGTGTCAAACCATCGGCAAAAGGTCAAATTTCGGTTTTCACACATCCTCCTTCACACATATTTTTTCCAATTTTGATGTCAAACGATTCAGAATGACTTGGAACGTCGAGAAAACATAAAATTCGCAAATTGGGTTTTGAATTAAATTTCTTTCAGAAGTTCATATATTTACATAATATCATTAAAATGATGTATTGACGCACTTTTCATTCATTTATATATGTATATAGATAATATTTTATATACGAAAAACAATGATTGCACTGAATATGAAAAAAGGTAATATTATTACCTATGACATAGATCTCCAAGACCTTCAATTTTTTGTAATACACCGGTTGACGAATCGCCCTGTGTAACGAAAAACACTTTAGGACAATGAGTGGCCAATGCTCCTTCAATTTCTTCGTAAGTTAAGGCAGTTCCTAATGCCGATTCTAACAGTTGGACTCTCGCTCCTAAAAATTCATTAATATTAGATCATATAAAGACAGTTGCAACAAAAATAAATGATTTTTTACCATATCTTCTAGCCATATCTGCTGCACGTAACCCCCAAATGCCACTGACTGCAATTAGAATGAGTTCACCAGGTTCTAACAAATTACATATAACTGCTTCCATTCCACCATGACCACTTGCACTTACTGCTAATGTTAATTGATTTTGAGTTTGGAATATGTACCGTATTCCTTCTTTGATATCATCCATTATCTAAAATCCGGATATCAATTTTATGTGTTTTAAACAAAAGTCTTATTAAAAACATTGCTATTTCTTATAAAAATCATTCAGTTAATTTCTGTTATTAAAGAAACAACTGTTATTAAGAATTATTGCAGAATTAAAATAAACTGGTCTAGTTTCTTAATGATCATCAAATAAAAACCGTCCAATCGGTTTAATTACAGAATTAGGTTTATATGAATGTTTTTGTGTAAGAGTGCTATGAGCTGTTTCGATATTATTGGTTTTTAGAAGGCAATCCAATGGTTCTCCTGTCTAAATTTTAAACTTTACATTATTTTCACCAATATTGATTTTTTTGAAATTTGATGCAACAATGCCGGGGAAGGGCTATTTTTACTTGGAAACATATTTCCATCTATCAGGTAAAAACCGATATCATTGCAGCTTGATATCAGGCTGTCCGAGGTGGTTTTGTGCAGAACCTTGAGCTGCAAAGTCAAAGTTCTTACCAAAGCACTACGGAAAAAAGATAGTTACCCCTTTTTTCAAAAAGTAGTAAATCTAGATTCAGGAGTAAGGATTGCCAAAAATACAATATTTTACTAAATATTAATATTGCAAATTATTTTGAATATTTATAAGCAAGATTTTCAATCCAATTAATAACGAATCAGTCACGAATACTATACAATCTTTGAGCAAGATCTGCAAGGTCAAAAAATCATTTTACACGTAAATTATCGATAACCAAAATAATCAAATTATTGGAAACCAACATCCTGACCATGGTAATATGTGGTAATATGCATATTACCGCGATAGAAATTGTTGTTTTCTTCAAAATGTATTTATTGAAATTTGTTTACATACGTAATCATGTCTATACGCATATAATGTATGTCATAATGCTGAGAAAAATATTTGAGATGTACATTGCAACTAATTATTCATAGGAATTTATTATATGAACTTTGATTAAGGCGTCATCACGAGATAAATAAATATAAACACATTGTTTACATACCAAATAATTAATAAAATTTTTCTTTGTACTCGATAAATATTTGAAACATAGTGTAAGTGGCATTTTGCCTTAAGGCAGTTGCATGAACTGAGAATTGCATGAATCCCAACAAGCGTATTTTATGAATTTTTATGAGTAAACCAGTTTTCGTAGACCTATAATATTTTAGGATGTTTGTTCAGACAATGGACTGAATTGTTCAGACAATGTGACTGAATAATGACTATGCAAATTTTCACTAAAATTGTCAAAAAACTTATCTACAATTTATAAAAAACAGCCCCGCTGATAGTCTTTACCAAAATCGATCAGCACAATTTTCAAATCACAAATCGGTAACTGTTTTTGAATTTAATTTGAATTTTAACCCTTTCCACTCGCAAATTCTGAGATTTATATGAATAATTTTGCCGCCAAAGCGGCGGCATCTGAGTGGAAAGGGCTAAATTTTCAAAATTAGTTCAGGATTCTGATAATATTTGTACTTATGCAGAAACGGTTCGGTCGATCGTTGCGCAAAACTAACCATCACAAGTGCTTATTTTGAATTTCACCAAATCAATGCAGCCGTTTTTTTTAGAAACGTCCATGAAAAGTCAAATTTTAGATCACATACAAACACACTCATACTTCTTGCAGATTCTGAATGAAATGTTGATTTTTTTTCTTTTTGATATTTTTTAACAGCAACCAGAACCTTTCGTCCTATGAGCTGTTGGGCCGAAACTTCTCCTTACCTCGTATTTTTTAGATGGTAACCCAATGGTTAATCCATCCATATTTGATGAATTTTGTTATTAGAATTAATCTAATAGGGCTGACTTTTTATTGGTGCAGCAATAACGGGCAAGGGCTATTTTTACTTGGAAACATATTGCTATCTATATTTCCAAGTGAAAATCGTTGTCACTGCTGCCTGACAACAGGCTGCTCGAAGTGGGTATCGAACGCGGAACCTCTGATTCAGGTCCCGTCGCTCTTAACCGCTTACCTACGGGCGAGCTCGAAATGTTGAAATAACACAAAATTGGTCTATCGGTTTTTGTTATAAAAATTTTAAAAATAAATATACAATAAATTATAAGTTTATATATATAAATATAAAAATACATATAAATGCTTATTTATAAAAACTTTCAGTCATTTCTTATGAAAATATGTTTTTAAAATATGAGTTATTTCATTATTAACCATAAAACGCGTTTAGTACATTTACTTTCATTCAACAAGTCATTCAGCACAAGTATTAGTATAATATTTGTTTTTATCTCATAATTAGTCAAAATTTTAAGTTTTAATTAACAATTTATTAATTACCTTTGTACATTCCGGATGTAAATGACCCAGCACAGGGTTGCTCATAGCTTGCAGGACCCTCGGAGGACAATTAGAAGGTCCTGGACCCATCAAGAGTTTATTAGGAACAACAAGCTCCTCGCGTAGCACTGCCGGCGTATTCACATCTAACGAACCCATATCCGCCAATTCGTTAACAAAATTGGCAATTTAATAAAGTAAAATAAATTACAGCGAAATAAAATAAAAATAATAAATTTATTATTACAACTTCATATGTTGACAAACTGAATGTAAATGACGTTCTACGAACACGTGAATGGGTATATGAACGCATTGTATCAAACTATATTGATGTGTGAGTAAGTAATGTAGATAATATTTATTAGAGATCATTTACTCATACATATGTACAATGAGCGATCGTACGAAATGAATCGTATTTATAATATAAAATAGAAACATGTTTTGTTTTTTTAAAAATGTTTACAAAACATACAAATCATTTGCATCATGCTATTAAATTGGAGGAATAATTTTATTTGTAAATCACTTGAGTAACTTTTAATTAAAATATATAAAAACTAGTGGTGTTTAGCATTGTGCCTTGAGGCAAATTGCCGGAACTTCCCGTACGACAGTGAAATATTCAAAGAATAAAATTTAGTTAAAAAACATTTTTTTTAAATTAAAAAAATGAAACAAAAAAAATCCCCAAAAGCTATCGTTTCGTCAACACAAAAATACAGTTTTCCTGAATCATTCATTCCGATACTTAGCTCCGTTTTTCCGAATCGGCTAGACCTACCTTTGCCAAAATCTAACCACCTCTTTCACCCATCATTACAAATCGGTTGTTTTTTGGATCATTTAAATCGGATGCTCCGTTCTATCAGAAACTCGATTTTTGTGCACTTTTTGCACTGCATCTCCGAAACGGCTTGACTTGCCTTTGCCAAAGACTAATTAGCACGTCTTCTTATCAATAGGAATCGATTGTTCCTTGAATCATTCAAATGGGTTGATCCGTGCGCCCGAAAACGTGGACGAAAAATGGTATCCATACATGCATGCCGAAAAAGAAGTTGCGGGTCCAATAAATGAAAATGGGGCTCCACTACTAGACCTCAATACAACTATAAATACTTAATATATTATACGTAATAAATAAATTAATAAAAATAAAAAAGCATTTTACTATTATAAAACAGACATCGTGAAACCTAGTAGAAGGCAAGTTTCGCGTTATTACCTAACAAAAAAGACGTAGACGGTTGATGTAAAATCGAACCTGACAAATGTTAATAATTATCCATAGTTTCACTTTTAAAATTCAATACTAAACTGTAGTACAGTTAAATATTTATAAAAAATAGTTATTGGGTAAATAGGGGGTCTACGAGTTTGGGAACCTATGGTTTAGACCAGGCATCGGCAACCTAGGGCACGCGTGCCAGGCTTGGTCAAATTATCTAATGTAGCTCGCTAATGTAATTCAATCTACATTGAAGCACTTAAAGATGAATTTTCCAGATGCAAAGACTTTAAAGCTTATGTGCCTAAATTTTCCTTCCTCATAAAACCAGATTTCATAGATCCATCAATAATACCGTTTGATTTTTCAATTTTTGAGTCGATGAATGTTGATGATTTTGAAATGGAAATTATGGAACTAATATCTTTAGAATTATGGAAAACAAAATTTAAGGAATTACGAAAAAATCAGGAAGACGACTCCATGGAAAATTAAATTGTTGGATGACATCGTCGGAAATATTTAATTGTTTAAATAAAATTGCATGCGTTATCCTTTCACCTTTTGGTTCCACATATCAATTTTACACCCATTGTAGTATTTTTACACCCATTGTAGTATTGTTTACAAACATTGTAGTAATTTTACACCCATTGTAGTATTTTTACAAAAATTGTAGTAATTTTACACCCATTGTAGTATTTTTACAAAAATTGTAGTAATTTTACACCCATTGTAGTATTGTTTACAAACATTGTAGTAATTTTACACCCATTGTAGTAATTTTACACCTATTGTAATATTGTTTACAAACATTGTAGTAATTTTACTCCCATTGTAGTAATTTTACACCCATTGTAGTATTTTTACACCCATTTGAGTAATTTTACAACCATTGTAGTAATTTTACACCCATTGTAGTATTTTTACACTCATTGTAGTAATTTTACACCCATTGTAGTATTGTTTACAAACATTGTAGTAATTTTACTCCCATTGTAGTAATTTTACACCCATTGTAGTAATTTTACACCCATTTGAGTAATTTTACAACCATTGTAGTAATTTTACACCCATTGTAGTATTTTTACACCCATTGTAGCAATTTTACACCCATTGTAGTATTTGTATTGTTTGTATTGTTTACAAACATTGTAGTAATTTTACTCCCATTGTAGTATTTTTGCAAGTATTGTAGTAATTTTACACCCATTGTAGTATTTTTACACCCATTGTAGTAATTTTACACCCATTGTAGTATTGTTTACAAACATTGTAGTAATTTTACTCCCATTGTAGTATTTTTGCAAACATTGTAGTAATTTTACACCCATTGTAGTATTTTTACACCCATTGTAGTAATTTTACACCCATTGTAGTAATTTTACACCCATTGTAGTATTGTTTACAAACATTGTAGTAATTTTACACCCATTGTAGTATTTTTACACCCATTGTAGTATTGTTTACAAACATTGTAGTAATTTTACTCCCATTGTAGTATTTTTACAAACATTGTAGTAATTTTACACCCATTGTAGTATTTTTACACCCATTCTAGTAATTTTACACCCATTGTAGTATTGTTTACAAACATTGTAGTAATTTTACTCCCATTGTAGTATTTTTGCAAACATTGTAGTAATTTTACACCCATTGTAGTATTTTTACACCCATTGTAGTAATTTTACACCCATTGTAGTATTGTTTACAAACATTGTAGTAATTTTACTCCCATTGTAGTATTTTTGCAAACATTGTAGTAATTTTACACCCATTGTAGTATTTTTACACCCGTTGTAGTATTGTTTACAAACATTGTAGTAATTTTACACCCATTGTAGTATTTTTATAAACATTGTAGTATTTTTACACCCATTGGACTTATGTACATCAAATTATCAGATATTTTATAGAGATTTTAATACTGTGTACATATTTTGTGTAATTTTTTTTGGGTTCAGTACCATGATTTTTAATTTCAGTATGGGAAGTTCTAGCAATTTGAATTAAGGCACGATGCCATGCACCCCACTAGTTAATAAAAATGTTTAAAAGATAAATTTGGTTATAATTCTTTTCCCACAGAACCTGGTTATATATTTCAGAATTCAGGCGGCACCCTGAATCATATTGGTAGAGTGGCTCGGCACACCACAGTTAAAAGCTTGCCGACCCCTGGTTTAGACCATGCGGAAGACCCGCGCATTATCAATATGCAAAGATTCATTAATTAGTCAATTTTATCAACAATGAATTACGGTCAGGTCTATTTTTACTAAAAACTAATCAGCACGATTCCTATCTGATATCTTTCGAACTGTTTTTGATCAATTTGAATTATTAAAATCGGTTCAGGATTTTTAACTATGTGCTAATTAAAAAGAAAATTAATAAAGCATAATCAACGCAAGTCCTTGTCGAATTATATTGAATGGCTTTTAAATTAAAAAAAAAACGTTATGTTTTATAAACAGCTGACACATTTTCATGCCCCTTTGAGGTCTAACTACTCATTATCGCAAAGACAAAAATTTTATAGAAAATAATTTTAATCCAAATAACAGAAAATATTCTGTATCGGATAGCAAGATTAGTTATAACAGAATCTTTAGATAATTATAACAGATTCAAAAATATTTTTCATTTAACAAAGTACACGTGGTGATTAGCAAACCAGTTACAAAAGAAATCTTTCAAAATAGATATCGCCCTCGAGTGATAGTTGAATAAAAATAGTAAACACCAAATGCAAGGTTTTAAACTTCATGAAATATAAACATACAAACTAAAATTTAAATGCCATCTTTTAATATTTTTGATAACAATTTGCATGCATTTTTAGTTACATAATATTAGTTTCATGGCATGGCATGGCATTCATGGCAGGCAGAAAGAGTTAGAAGCCAGTCGCAAATGTAATGCTACCTGTATTACAGTTTTAAATTAGGTCGAAAAATTAAGATAAAAAGCACATAATGGCTACCAGATCAGGAAAACTTTTTAAACAAACAGCAAAAATATTGAGTCCACGCACAAGTACACCAAAATTTTATAGACGTCCCGAGTTACTTAGAGAAGCTGCGAGAAATGAATATTTATCACCTAATTATAAGTAATATTTTAATATTTTATTTTTTATTTTTTAAGGCATTTTATTGTGCTTATTGTTTTATAGATCGCCCACAATACTGTCTGATGCACCAAAAAGTTTCAGGAGTAGTAGTTTGTTGTCCGAGGATGTAACCAATATTTATAATTCGCCGAACCGCCAAACGTAAGTTTTGTTTTGTATTTTTTATTTAATCATTTTTTTATTTAAATCTGTTGCAAGTATTAATTAACATGATAACAGAAACTAAGACAATCATGAATGTACTTAAAATAATAAAATGTACATATTTTCCTTGATAGTGATATGTTACTTAAAATCAAAGAAAAATTAAATAAGTCCGAAAAATAGTGAAAATAAAATAGAACAAGAGTTATTTAAATAATTATTAACGTGGTTTACAGGTCGCCTATGGTTTATACCAAATCAGATAGAAAATCAATTCGAAATCTATTTCATTCGTCCCCTCTTAAGGATACATCAAATAAAATATTAAATGCACCACGTATAGAATTAGAAGATACAGGTAAATACCCATCTATCTTATTTCAATAAACAAGAATATTGCTCGTTTTAAAAATAAAAAAATAATTGAAATATTTTTTTTTAGAATCTGATACAAATTGTCTGTGTTTTGATACGCCTAAAGTAAAAACATCATTGAACAGATTACGGTCTTCCTCCTTCTATGAATACGAAACCTCTACTCAAAAACATTTACTTGGAAAGGGATCGTTCGGATATGTTATAAGATCGCGATATAAAGGTTTACATTATAAATGCAATAGTTTAAAAGTCTTTTATACTAATTTAATATTACAGATATGAATATTGCCGCCAAAATCGTTCGCACAAACAATTCCCGTACAATTTCTAGTGGAAAAAGTGAAAGAAATGTATTACAATTGAATCATCCGAATATAATAAAAGTATACAAAATCATACAATCCTTTGACTATGCAATAATCATCATGGAACTATATGAAGGATGTCATTCCTTGAAAAAGTTCATCGGATCTTATATGGATTTGTTATCTGATCACGATCAATACAGGTTAGCTATAGTTGTATATTAAATTGTTAATGAACTTTTCATCAATTTTATTTTTTATTTTAGATACTCATATCAAATCGCAGATGCTTTAAATTACATGCACAGCTCCGGAATAATACATCTGGATATTAAACCAGCAAACATCCTAGTTTTAGACAACATATGTAAAGTTTGCGATTTTGGGTGCTCTAGGCAAATTACTTGCAGTGAAAATCAAGATACATATGATTCTAATAATTTACAGGTATGAGAATATAATCTAAATAAAATTATATTCTCTATATATATAAACTATTCAAATGAGTAATTTCCAGGGAACACTAGAATATATTGCACCTGAACTACTTCAAGGAAAGATTCCAACGATAAAATGTGATATATATTCTTTGGCAATATTGATGTGGCAAATGCAAAACTGTTGTGAACCCTACAAGGTAGATAACATAAAACATAATAAATATACATAATATATACATATATAATGTTTTCAGATTATTGAGCCTGATTGTCTTATCTATAATGTAGTGAAATACAACTTGAGACCGAGATCAAAAATAACTAGGAGAGTAATTAGTTCAAGTCAACGCATGTATGAAAAGTTGTATCAAAAATGTTGGCTCGCAGATCCTGCAGAAAGACCAACGGCCGTGCAAATTATGAACAGTTTACAAGATATTCAAAACTTGGCTGGTTTACCAATGTAATTCGTTTTATTCTTGAGACAATACAAAAACATTTTATTTAATTGATTTTTGTTTTAAATAATTTCTATTAAATTATTAAATATTTACAGTTCTCTTTCAGTAATGTACATATTTATTACCAAGGTATTGGTTTTCCATCGTACTGGAGAAAACCACCATTGTCTTTTTCATTAAGTTTTGTTAAAGTCTTGACAATACCATCAACACTTTCAGATATGTCTAAGGGTGCTTTATTGCCTCCCATATCAGTTTTTACCCACCCTGGATGCATATTTACAGCAATGATACCATCTGATTTCAAATCAACACTCATAGATTTTGTTGCAGCATTTAATGCAGCCTGAAATTAATATTTTTGGTAAATCACAAAGTTAATGTGACAATAAGTGAATGTTTGAAATTCCATTCATAACGTATAGGTGAATTTATATTAAATACTTTTGTAAGTGATGTCATTCAAATCCCAGTTAACTGTGTGTCAAATTCTTGATTAGAAAGCAAAAATATTCCAGTGTCAAATAATTGTATCATATAAAACTTTTTTCAAGACATTTAGGTGAAATTTTATATCTTATGCTACTTCTTTAAACAATTTAACTTATTTACCTTAGTGCATCTGTATGGATAAAGACCACCTGATTCATTTTGAGCAATCGAACCAAGCATGGAACTCATATTTATTATAGCAGCTTTAGCAATTCCCATTGGCAATTCACTATTTGCAGAGGAAGCTTTCTTGAGCAAAGGTAAAAATGCCTGTAAACATTTATATTACATTAAATGATAAGAGATATATCATATTTGTATATAAATACAACATACCTTTGTTAACATGACAGGTGCAACAGTATTAACTAAAAATGTATCCATCATTTTGTCAACTTCAGTAAATGCCAGTCTTGTAGATCGAGGCGAAACGCCTGCATTATTGAAAAGCACATTAAGCCCATCGTCTCCTACTATTTTTGTTACTTGTTCCACTAGAACTGGATAACTTTCTATGTTCTTTACATCTATATATTGAATAAAATGTAATAAGAAATAAATTCAGAAGTTATATGTAAAAATTAATGATATTTGTGTGCTTACCAAGTTCCAAAATATGCACATTCTGATGTTTGTTTGCAACTTCTTGCAGATCCTATAATTATAAGGTCATATGTACATTAGTGAAACTAATCTCATTAATTAATTGCATTTCATTTTCATTTCATTCCATTAATTTTAATCGAAGATCAAATCAGAAACTGTCTTTGCTATACAAAGATAAATAATTTATAATAATATTTTATATGAATAAGTCAATTTGCATATGAAATCTAAATGAATTTTATGATTTCTTAAATATTATTGAATGAATTTATATTTCAATTTTAACAACATTTATGAATATGGGATAAAAGAAAGTTAATCTTATAAAAAAGAAAGTCAAAAGATCCTTGTTAAATTACCTTTTTTTGATATCATAATGAAAATATATATGTTTGTAGTACTATTTAAATTGCCAATGTGAGTGTATTAATTTGAATTGTAAATTATAAAGTTAATTAAAACAACTTAATTTTACAATGTCAAACTTTCTGTGCTTTCGCATATTTAAAAAGAAGAAAATGAACGAACGGACGACATGTGCCTGCTCTGATAATAGTCGTACAACATTTATAGAAAATATTGATTTTAATACATCAGGTATTCCATAATGATGACTTAACACATTTTTGATTAAAAATTTAATCATTTGCTAAGCGCGCGTTGATTGTTGCTTCGTAATGGAATGAAATTCCTTGAATGACATGACGTCATATGTCAGAACATTCTGTCAATTCTACAGACAAGATTTCTGTATCTCGTTCTGGGTGGCAATCGTACTTACAAACTTAACCGGCGACTTATGGTTATTTTAACGTTATCCGTCTAACCCAAAACGTGTTTTAAATAGTTTAAGAAGTAGTAGAACAGATTTGTTAAAGCAGTTACAAATGGCACCTATTGGTAAGTAACAGTTAAATAATTTTAAAGTGTGGTTATTTTACAAAAAGTGTGTGATATTAAGCTTACCCCCGCGTTATTCACATTTCGGCATGTCGCAATGACGTGCTTCGGATTCAATTCTTTCAGTACACTCTTGACCAGCCCCAAGCCCAAACCGCGATTACAACCAGTGATTAATATTGATTTCATCATTACTTTATTTGATTTTAATAAAGTTGTGTTAATAATGTGACCTTCGTTCTAATCGGTTCGAGAAAGTGTAATTGTCATACTTTTTGTTCACGCAAGATTGCGTCTATAATATGGCGCTTTTCCGATGTTATCTCAGACAATTATCTGTTAAAAACTTACATAAAGGAGTTGGATTACAAATTAATGTTCAATTAATACGACATTGCTGCACTAGTAAGTAATTGCACAATGACAGAAGGAATTGACACATTTAGGTTATATTTTGATATTTGTAACAAATAAATTATATTATACTATTTTCATTAAAATGGGTACGTTTTATGAATTGCACGAACATTATTTAAAGTGTTACTTACCTTTTTAATTTAAATTACATTTATACACTCCAAATATCAGTAGTGGATCATGCAATCATGGTGCTATCAGTGACATTCACAACTTCACTTTAATATTGAATAATAAATTGAATCTGATTTTAAATAGATCCTGCACAATGTTTAATGTTCAACGTTTTTCTTGCACAAATAACACACCAGTTATATCATTGTATCTGAAATAAATAATTTACATATCGATTCTTGGCATAAGAATTGTTCAATTCAGTTTACATTTACAACTGGTGTTGCACAGAGAAATTTAGCTTTTACAGCAGCTGTTGTTATAGACTTAATTTAAATTTATATTCTGTAGGAGAACCAGAATATGATCTTGTGGTTATCGGAGGAGGCTCTGGCGGATTAGCTTGTGCCAAAGAAGCAGTAAATTTGGGAGCTAAAGTAGCAGTCTTAGACTATGTAGTTCCTTCACCACAAGGAACAAAATGGGGCTTGGGTGGCACATGTGTAAATGTGGGATGCATACCTAAAAAACTTATGCATCAAGCATCTTTACTTGGAGATGCTATATTTGTAAGAACATTTAATAATTAATTCAAGCTTTAATGTTATTTATAAATTCCCTATGATATTGAATAATATAATACATATTATAATTGTGTTAATATTATTCGTCTTCTGATTGGTTATGTTTACGTTCGTAGGATTCTTCCTTTTATGGATGGAAATTTGATAATCCTGAGAACACAAAACATGATTGGTTTTCATTAACAGAAGCTGTTCAAAATCATATCAAAAGTGTCAACTGGGTCACTAGAGTAGATCTACGAGACAAGTAATTGTTCATTCCATTATTTGATAATTGTTGATAATGCACTGTTACTGATTCTGTATTTTTATCAATTTTACCTTAATATATTTTATTATGCAGGAAAATCGAATATATTAATGGCCTAGGATACTTTAAAGATCAAAATACTATTATAGCTGTATTAAAGAATAAAAGTGAAAAAATATTGTCTGCCAAAAATATTGTTATCGCAGTTGGAGGACGGCCTAACTATCCAGATATTCCTGGAGCACTAGAGTATGGAATTACTAGTGATGATATTTTCAGTTTAGATAGAGAACCTGGAAAAACTGTAGTTGTTGGTGCTGGTTGTATCCTTTTACAATAAATGTGGCATATTATGCTCATTTTATGAAGTTTTTATTTTTATTACAGTGTTTACTTTAAACTATCTACATTATCCATAAACTTTTCTTAACTTAAATTTAAATTAGACATTGGACTTGAATGTGCAGGTTTTCTGAAAGGATTAGGATATGATGCAACAGTTATGGTCCGCTCAGTCTTATTGCGTGGATTTGATCAACAAATGGCTAATATCATTAAGGAATCTATGATTGAAAAAGGAGTCAAATTTTTAGATACATGCATTCCAAAATCAGTAGAAAAATGCTCAGATGGCAAACTTCTTGTTACTTGGTTAAATACTTCTGATAATACCACACATTCAGATGTATTTGATACCATTTTGTTTGCTATTGGAAGGAAAGCTTTAACAAAAGATTTAAAATTAGATAATGCTGGTGTTTTATTAGAAGAAAATTCAGATAAAGTTTCAACTGTAAATGAACAAACAAATGTGCCTAATATTTATGCTGTTGGTGATGTGTTATATGTAAGTTTGAATTTTATTTTAGACCTTTAGTTTGTACAGCTATAATTAAACATAATAAATTACTTTTAGAAAAAACCTGAGTTGACACCTTCAGCTATTCATGCTGGACGTTTATTAGCTAGAAGAATGTTTGGAAATTCAACTCAGATAATGGACTACGAAAACATTGCCACCACAGTATTTACTCCATTGGAATATGCTTGTGTGGGCTTAAGTGAAGAAGATGCAACTAAAATGTGAGTTTATCACTTACTATAGCATGAAAATTATTTCAGTATCTTTATTTGATCTACTGATAATCCTTATCAATAACACTTCATATGAGATAACACTGTCGTGAAAATGTTCTCTTCACTGATCATGTTTTAAGGCTATTTATCTATAGCAATTAAACCTGTCATATATTATCATTTATATTCATTTTGGTTTTGAATAAATTACTTTAAATAGTATATATTGTACATTGTTTATTAGTATTTCAGACATTATTATATCAGCTTTGTTTTCAATCTACTTTCATCACAAGAACACGGGTATTAATTTTTTAATTGGATAATATAGATATAGTTTATTTGAAAATTTTTATTTGAAAAAAAAAATCTGTACCAAATTATATTTTCTAGGTATGGCGCTGATAAATTAGAGATTTATCATGCATATTATAAACCTACGGAGTTCTTCATTCCACAGCGTAGTATCAAGCATTGTTACTTAAAAGCTGTTGCATTGAGAGATGGCCCACAAAAAGTTCTTGGACTGCATTTTATAGGCCCAAATGCTGGAGAAGTTATTCAAGGTTTTGCTGCTGCTATGAAGTAAGGCATACTCTATTATTAGTATTGAATTACTTTTTCAGTATTAAATACATCTTGTAGTATGTTTTCATTTATTATCTATATTTTATAATATGTTTAAATTATTTTTAGGTGCAATCTTACAATGGAAGCTTTGTTAAACACTGTTGGAATTCATCCAACAATAGCTGAAGAATTCACTAGACTAAATGTTACAAAACGTTCAGGGAAAGATCCAAATCCAGCATCATGTTGCAGTTAAACATTATTCTCGCTTGTGATGTCCTATAATATATATTTATATGCAGTTGATTACAGAAAAATGCCACATAACTTGTTAGGAAACTGTTTATAAACCACTATTTTTTTAGCATTATTTTTGTAGTTGTTATATTTATATTTCCAATTGTGATATTTTAATATTACATATGATAAAAGTGCTTTATTGTATTATTACTGTATTATTATAAATAATTGAAAACTTTGATAATATTTATTCCTTACGAATTGGCACCAGCTATTAACAAATGCTAATTGAAGTTGATACATTCAGAATGCTTTATCCAGTTTTTGGATAAACTTTCTCCCTATAACACTTTATTTTTTTATTTTCAGTATAGTGATAAAATATTATGAACAATAATCGTTAGTTTTAACATTTTACTTTTATGTATGGATTTGGATAAATTCAATATGATTAGGAATGTAAGCTAAATATTAAGTTTTTAAATTGGTGTATTTTTATAATTTTATGGGAGCAATGTATTGACTATACTGCACTGTTGAATAAAGTTTGAAATAAAATTTTGTTTCACTTAATAATGGAGATAAAATACTAATCTGTTCGGTTTTATGCAATTGAAGGAAAAGGCAGTACTTTTATTGAAAAAATACAGGCTGTTTTTTATCATTTAATAATTTGAATAAATATTATCCATTAATTAAATATTAATATAAAATAATAATTTCTAGTATAATACTTGCTTAATTTTTGAACATTACTCTATTAACAATTAATTCACTCTCTACTCTTTCTTCTCAGGCGCGTTGAATGTTTAACTCAACCTTGTTGGACGACGTATTTGCAGTTTTACTTCAAAAAATAAAGTAATATAATGATGTAGTATACATAATGTTTATTATATGTAATGTATTTAATATGCTCAATAGTGTCTGTATATAATTTTCATAAATTTTTAAATATTTTTTTAAATTTTCGGAGTCTTGCTCGCCTATGCCCCCCACACTTTTTTCTTTCATGTCTCAGTCAAGCAGGGGTCTCTGGTATAAGAGAAACGGTTTTAAATACGAATTTGTGATATATGGAAGAAAAATAAGAATTTTGAGAAGAATCTAACTTTAAGCTTCAACTATATATAGCACACTGGAAAATCTAAAATTTCAAAAATATTACATCTACACGGAAAAGAGTTAGACTAGAAACGATATAAATCGGTAAGTCTATGCTTAAATCGGCAAAAATATAAATCGGTAAGTGTCTGCCTAAAATCTTCATGAGATTTTAAAATTTTCTTTCAGCCTCATAGTCCATCAGATACGGCTCTGAATTCGCCATTGATGAAATCAATGCTGAAACTGCATAAACTATAACAACTTACTTGGAAATTGAACATCTGGAAATTACACATTTATTGTGCAACACGGAAAAGGGTTACACCTTTCGAAATAGTGTGTTTGGGAAAAAGATGCACAATAATGGTACGAATGAAACAATATATAAATTGGTAAGTGTTTGCATATAGTTTTTATGTGATTTTCTAATTTTCCAATAATTTTTAACTCCCCGTAGGGTAAGTTATAGTAATCGCAAAAAAATCGAAAATGAAAATTTTTATATATCTGTACGTTTCAAAGGTTTTTAAACATTTTGGCATACCTTAGAAAAAATGGATGTATGTGTGTATACACATACATCCATTTTTTATAAGTGCGTATGTGTGTATGTGTGTTTGTGTGCGCGCGCGGATACAAATTTTCGTCGACGATTTCGGGAAACCCGATCAACCGATTTGAATAATTCAAAAAACCTTCGATTTGTATTGATAAGGAAACGTGCTGATTAGTTTTTGGCAAAGGCAGGTCTAGCCGTTCCGAAGATACGGGGCAAAAAGTGCCAAAAACGGTAACACAGTTTTCAAGAGAACGGAGCGTCCGATTTTAATCATACAAAATTTCCGGTTTTAATAATTTTTACTTGTATTGACAAGATGAAAAACTGATTGAATTTTTGGGAAGGCAAGTCCAAGTCCGGTTATGGACTCTTAATAAAAATAAGTTAAAAAATGTCATTTTGCGGTCAAAAATGTTTATTGGACATATGTACATCAAATTATCAGATAATTTATTGAGATTCTAATAATGTGTACTCATTTTGTGTAAATTTTTTTGGGTTCCGTACCAAGATTTTTGATTACAGTACGGGAAGTTTCAGCAATTTGCCTTAAGGCACGATGCCATGCACCCCACTAGTTATATTTTTCAATACATGTATATAACATATGTATATATATATACATCTACTCGGAACTCGGACTCGGACAAAGAACTTGAGGTTCCGAAAAATTATTTCAATAGCGATATGTATTTATATTTTGGAATGATTTTATGTAATATATTACATAAAATCATTCCAAAATATAAATACATATCTAGTGAAATAAATTATCCAAACCTCAAGTTCTTTGTCCGCTGCTGTCCAATGCGTCTTGTGTTGCGCACCGTCGCTTACCTGTCGCTCACCTGTTGAATTGAGTGGGCAAACGGCAAACGGCAAACGCAACTGTGTTTATAGTATCGTTCACAGAAATCAGTCGTAACTTGCCATCGAGCGAGCTCTGTGTATGTGATCATGTATTCGATATTTGTTAATGTTATTAGGAAGTAGTGCATTTGTATATAAATTTTATCTCTGCAAAGAGAATATTGCGCAGATATCGTGCTTCGATATTTCACGATTGAATAAGCATATCAATCCATTTATGAAAAGTGTGTATGAAAATCAATTCGTGTAAATAAATGTTACCGGCGAAGTGAATAGAAAGTAAAATTTTAATTTAACGTATAATAAAAATTTAGTGAAGATTTAATTTGTAATTACTCGAACAGATGAATTTTTTGCTTTGCTACTATTTTGACTATCATATAACATTCATGTACTAATTCAATCATTTGCATTCAATTGAAGAAGTTGAACTATATATTTGATTTAATTGACCCATAAGCGAATTAGAAATCTGTTAGTACCAAGATAATTTTTTTTAAAACTTTATCTATATAAAATATATTTTTTAAACCATTCCCCGAAAAATATACGATTTGGAATAAACAATTGAATATATTGTATAAATAATGTACTAAGCACAAAGATTTCTAAAACATTGCAAGACGTTCATTCAGTGCATGAATATTTATTTATTTATATATATATTTCATTCACTATATAAATATAATTATATATATATATATATATATATATATAATATATATATATATATATATATATAATATATATATATATTTGATATTAATTTTTATTTATCATCGATCATCTGCATACCAGTTTTCCAGCCTTGTATTTTACATAAAGCATGCACAATTTTTCCAATATGGGCCCGATCAAGTTTCCTTTTCATTTCACAATCGTCTTGAATAAAGTTTTGATTGACAAAAAAAAAAAAAAAAAAAAAAAAATTCACAATCGTGTTCGGTAGAGTTCATTTTTCTCTCACTCTCTGTAGTACTTCTTAATTTTTATACATATATGTGCATATATAATATTATTAATTTATATATTTAATTTCTGAACTATTCTTCAGTATAACAATTTTAGAATTGCACATAATTCAAGATTTTCTTCTTATAAAATTTACTTACTTTTTAAGGGAATTTACCTTTCTATATAAATATCGATTACTAGTTTATTAGTAAACATTGACATTGTTTACAGTTTTATCAATTATCTATTGTAAATAATATTGATTTAATAGTTAATTGCAGTATACGATTATATTATCAATTACCTGAACAATCGTGTCTTCTAGGTAGACTTTCTTTAATACACCTGTTCTGAATCGACTTTTTTTTTGTTTGTTTACATTAAATATAAATATATTTGAGTTATTTGAATGCAGGAAATTAGTTTTTTTATCCGTTGAACTACATTTTTTTAATATTCATTCTACGCACGCATATTAATCGTGAAGGCACACTTATTTAACATAAAATTTTTACATATCCAGTTTTAGTCAGTTAAAAAATTTTTGCTTAAAATTGCACATACAAATTAGTTTTTTTATTGAAATATAATTATTTAAATTAAATATGTGATAAATTATTAATTTATAAAAGAATTACTTTGAAATTAATATTGAAAAAACTATTTTTACTTTTTTTATTAAAATATAAATTTGAACATATTAAATCTCAATCAGACTACTTCTCACGTCTAAAAAGGTTACAGTAGATATTATTATAATTAATTCATATAAAAATATTCTGTAATCGATTTATAAATTAATAAACACACATAGGTTCATTAAAAACGTATAAGCAATATCGGAAATAGTGAAAGAAAGACAATTATTTTTGCAACAAAATCTAGTACAATTGTAGTATTCAACTGTTTTGAGTTTGTTAATTAATTAAGTAGTATTTTCAATTATATTTCGATAAAATTAAGATAATATATAATAAACTCCTTCTAATTTATTTTTATTCAAGATATTATAATTGCCCAACTTAATACTTACTGAACTGATCAATAGGCGGTTATTATTGCATTATTCATCATTTTATTTACAAAAAAGACTTAATATTAGTTGTCCATTCATGTGTTTTTAATTAATTATTTTATATTATCCTCATTAAATTTTATTATTTATCTTATTGTTAGTAATTCTAAATGTCATCTTTCATTGATAATCAGCTGGTTGTTTAGTATTCAGTCTCAGTTTTGCGGAAGTACCATTACGTATTAGTAGATGCTTTTAATATGAATGACCAGTTTATACTGGACAATTCTTATCATGAATTTATATAGATCCATTGCCTTTTGCGTTTCCTACGAGGAAGCATTAATAAATTAGCCATAGTTAATTTTTTTGGTCTTCAAGCATACGAAAAAAGGTCAATATCTTAGTTTTGAGACCAGTTGTGGTAAAAAAAATTGAATGCCAAAGGTCAATTATAGGAGATAATTCCTTTATCATCTATGAAAAACTTCTAATAAAAATCTATGTAAAAATTTGTAAGCCTTTTAAGAAATTTGTTTGCTAACAATCATAATTCCTTTCTAATAAGCATACTCTGCGTCCATGTAACAATGCAGCTCCAACATTTGCTGCATTGTTACTTGTTCCTATTAACTTTGTATTTTTTTTTGCAAACTTAAGGACATTTTATAAATTGCCAGCTCTTA